GCCTTTCTCCCTCTGTTTCTGTCTCTCCTGCTCCTCTGGGGCAGTGGCCCCTAATTAGAAGCAGGGCTGCTGGATAGACGTTTTCTTTAACAAGGTGAAAGCAACTGAATGGGACTAGCATAAACGAGGCAGAATATCAACACTGTGACTCCTCTGTCTGAGCCTCTACAAGTTTGGGGGAAAAGTGTTTAACATACTGTTGGAATGGCAATCTGCTGTTGCCTTATTCCCTCTTGCAAAGCTGTGAAACGGTCCTTCTCCTCCTGCAGAATATATAAATCTATCTGTGCTTCAGAATCTCCAAATTAAACATAGGGGCAGGCGCTTGGAAAATGAAAATGTAAATCTGACTGGGAAAAGCATTTGAGGTTCCTTTGCTTTGAGGAGAAAAAAGAGATCTACACCAGTGCCTCTTTGCTCTGTTTGTGACCTTTATCATTTGGCTCATATCTAATAAGCCTAAACAAGCGGCAGCAGCAGGGTTTGAGCAGCAAGTCTGTTCGCTGTGAAACATTTAGTTAACTCTTCAAGGTTACATCTCCCATCACTGTCTCAGGCTCCTCTCTGAATGAAAGAGGGAGATGGAGAAAAGGAGAGAGAAGAGATTGAGCCTGAATCCTTGTAACAGAAATCTTTTGAACTTATGACTACATTATAGAACGTAGCCTCCTGTGTAAAAATCCAGCCGGCTTTGGTTGAAGATAGACTCATTAGGTGTTTTAGTTATGAAAGACGAAAACTTTCAACAATTCAAATGGTTTGCTTCAGACCTGTTTTCGTTGCTTTTGTAATGTGCAAGAGGGGGAATTCTTTGAAGAAGGAGATTAAAACCATGTGATCATTTTAATTAGATCATTAGCCAAGAATTAAAGATCTATGTTTGTAACTCTCATTAACAAAAATACCAAGTGGGTGCCAAGACAGATTTGCGCATTACATTCGACGCATTTCGCCCTCTTTTCCCTTCCATTGCAGCCTTTTTTTTTTTTTTCTTTTTAGCTGCTATTGTTCTTGCTGTCAGTACGTTTTTGTTTACTTTTTTATTGCATCAAGGTAAAGGGAAGGTGGGTTAATCTCCGTCTGTGCTCTGTGTCTTTCAGGCTCTTTGGTACAACAGGGAACTGTGCAGCCTGCAGTAAACTGATCCCAGCCTTTGAAATGGTGATGAGAGCCAGAGATAATGTTTACCATTTGGACTGTTTTGCCTGTCAGCTTTGTAACCAGAGGTAAGAATGGGGATCATAACTGCACAACAATATTGCCTTTTTTTTCTATAAACATGATTGGAGCGTTAAAATGTCCAATAGCTTAAATATTAGAAACTCTCTAAAGGTACAACACCTTTTCTGTCTTGTTATATTATTACAGACCACTGAGCAAGTCTTAAAAAAGTGGATTGTCTTCCTGTGTTGTAAAAATAAAGGTTCCGGTATTGCATTTGTAATGCCCTACTAATTGTTTCCTATTGTGACACACTGCCAGCAGTTTGTCCGTGCTTGTGGCTAGCTCTCTAAATCTTTTAAGCCAGAGCGATGTAAAATTAGCTCCTGTTCTTATGTGTTCGAGGAGGTGCAGGAGCTACAAAAATAAAGTCCTCCAGAGGTGTGTTGCTGCATAAGGGAGAACGGACCTACACAGGTGAAATGGTGTTTCCTTAGCGATAGGATTTATTATGAAATTGGAGTGAGCACAAAGCCTATGGTATGATACACATAGAATATGACATACCCAAATATTGCTTTTTCCCATTAATATACTGTCAGTAATGGCACCACTCTGGGAGCAGAACGTCCTTTGCATGCTTGTCAGGGGTGCTGTGACCCTGTTCCTCCACACAGCACAAGCCCATTAACCTTCTGCAGGCCAGATTCAGTTACCATAGTGAACACCTGCTGTAAGGGAATTATGACTGCAGTCTCTCTTCTCAGCTGGCAGACATGAAGCCAGGTCTCATCTGGCACAGCATTGCCATGGCCGTGACTGTTTTACCAGCTTGGCTCATTACTAAAGCCAAGCTATGCTCAGCTATATTCTTATCTTCACTCCCCTTCAGTCACATTATGGAGCTGTCTCCACTGTGTCACACAAACAAACAGCAGCACAGAGAAGAACATCAGTAAGGCAGGCTGTTATGTGCTATTTTCCCTCTTCAATTGACTCCGAGACTTCAGAGGAAAAAACATTCTTGAGCACTGGAACCAAACTGGTGTGTGAAAAGCTAACCCTATGGCAGAGTTTCCTTGGAAACTCCCGTGGTGCCAGCGCCTTTTTGCCAGGCCGGGGAGAGTTGACCTGCCTTTCATTGGGCGCCAGTGCTTGTGTCTGGTAGCTTTGAAATGATAGGGTTTTAATCCACTTTTATTTGAAGCCACACATTCATGATGACCATCAAAACAGGCTTTGGATCTGATGAGGCGCAGTGTCAGCACGCGTCAGGTAAAACATCTCGAACCAAATGTGCGCAATCAAACAGAATCATCATTACCTGCTGATCTTAAATGCAACATTTTCACTGCCAGAGCAAAGCAGAGCAGAGTCAGCCAGTCAACACACACACACACACACACACCACTTTGTCATAACGCCAACAGTAATCGTCTTTGTGTTTTTAACAACAGTTCTGCTTTTGTTTGTTTTTCTCTGCCGACAGGTTTTGCGTGGGGGACAAGTTTTTCCTAAAAAACAACATGATTTTGTGTCAAATGGACTATGAGGAGGGCCAGCTGAATGGGAGCTTTGAGACACAGGTTCAATAGTTGGAACCTCGTGGCAGCAACAATCGGCTCCACACTTTACACACGAGATGGATGTTCTGCTGCACTTGGAAAAAGACAAGCGTCTGTCTGCTTGCCTGCAATACTTTTTAAGACCCCTTTATCAGTCCCTAAGGACTCTATTGTAAATGTTCAACTTTTTGCCCCTCCCACACCCCAACACTGAGCAGTTACAAATTTTGATGTACAGTTGTGCCTGCTTAGCTGAGCACTGTATTGCTTGTATGTTTTGTGAAATTTGTTTCCGGTTTGTTTTATTTTCCTTTTAGAAATGGTTCATTGGAGGGTATGTACAGTCTGTTTTCTCTGTATATATAAACTGGAACATTTATTTTATGAAATGTAATGCAATTTTATTACTAGTGTGAATTAAAGATTCTTAAATGTTCATAGTGAGTTTTTTCTCTTGCACCAAAACCAAAGCTGTCGGAGGAAGTCAGCCCATGTGTTGATATGTAATCATGTCTCCAAAAACGGCAACGTTATAAAAAGCTTTGCAAGAGAAAATATATTTGAAGTCCTTCTTCAAAACATGATGCAACAAAACAAGTTTTATTACATTTTACAGAGTTCTGATGGAATTAGAAATGCTGTTTAAAATGAACTACATAAGATTTTATTTGGAATAAAAGAATGCTTCTCCAAACTGTGTTGTTGTGAGCGTGCAGGTGTCATGAAAGGGAGTGAGTTAAGCTGAGCTGCTCCCCGTGATTCATGCTTCACTAATTGCCATCTGATTATGAGGGTGAATTGGCCTGGAAATGAAATGCAACAGCAAATAAATTAGAGAGAAAATAAATGCTTATTGAGTTTGAGCTCATTCAAACTCATCAGCAACAGAGGTGCAGAGCTGTATTAAAAAGTACTCTTCCCAGAAGACTCTTGTTAATGGAGCTGTGTGACACTGACTGTTTATCTGATGAGGTTATTTCTGATACACACACCAACAGTTGACGATATACTAAGTGTGGTGGAGCTGGCTGATATTCAGCTGATCCTTCAAGTGATAATTCATATCAATGGCTTTGCTTGTTACATGTACTTGTATGAATTAATCAAGCAATTATTTTACTCTGACACTGGCAACTAATAATACGGGGTACGAATTCTTGATAACATGATGCTGATGATACATCGCTATATATTAATAAGTTAGCACAGTATGTACCCGTGATTTCTTCCAGATATATCAAAATATTTTACAGATCTTATTTACTTTTATAGACAAAAAACATGTAAGAGAGATCTGTCACTGCAGGGTGACACAAGTGTGCAGCATTCTTTCGTTATTCCACTGGTCATGTACAGTTAATCTTGGCTTTGGGTCACAAGAAGCTGAGTCAGTTATAAAAAATAGCCAGGGGGCGGCAGTAGCTCAGTCCATAGGGACTTGGGTTAGGAACCGGAGGGTCGCCTGTTCAAGTCCCCGTCTGGACCAAAAATATGGAGCGTGGACTGCTGAGGTGCCCCTGAGCAAGGCACCGAACCCCCCAACCGCTCAGAGCGCCTGTCATGGGCAGCCCACTCTGACATCTCTCCACTTAGTGCATGTATAGGTCCAGTTTGTGCATGTGTGTGTTCGGACCTGTGTGTAACTGACAACAGAGTGAAAAATTGAATTTCCCCTCGGGGATTAATAAAGTATATAAAATTAAAAAATTAAATTAAAAATTATAAGGCGGCTCAAATCAACAGTGATTTTCATTACTGATTAATGATTATACTCTATTTTATCAATTAATAGCTTTGAGTACAAAATGTAAAAAAAAATTCACAGAGCCCAAGCTGACGTCTATGTGACCAAAAGCCCAAAACCCCAAAAATACTCGGAGAGAAAAGCAGAAATTCATCACAATAAAAGAGAGGAAAGTAATAAATGTTTGTCACTTTTGTTGGAAAAAATGACTGAAATTATTATTGAATTATCAAAATAGTTCCTGATTGACTTTCTGTTGGTGGACGACATGATTAATAACTAATTGCTTCACCTTCAGCTTATTACGTTTCACATTTTAGAGCCACTTCGTGCCAATTTTAATTAATTCTGCTGCCTTAAAATGTCCATAGTGCTGTCATGTTACAATTAAAAAAAAAAAATTAAACAGCCATGTTTCTCACATGGTGAAACTATGACAACTAATTAGAGAGAACAAACATCATTCTCTCAGAGAGAAAAAAAGTAGCTAAGCAAATGGCTGTAGCTTGGAAAAATGAATAGCTCTTAGATCACATCATCCATTTTATTTAAGTTCAAGTTCAGTAACAGGTAATATGCCATACATCAGTCTGGATGGAGGTCTGTAGCCTTTAATTACACTCTGGTATGTTTGACGTCACATGTTCCCGGACCCTGTAAGTGACATGTTAGACCCTGAGAACCCAAAAAGGACACAGAGTTTGTCATCTTGCATCACTAGCTTTGATTTAATGTGATGTCATGAAGTGCATGGAAAACTGTGTGCTACCTTTCTCTCACTGCAACCCTGCCTCCTAGAAATTCTGTTTCTATGTTACTAAACTGCTTTCTTTGTTATGTTGTTGTGGCAACATAATCATAATTGCTGCCTGGATTATGTTCAGAGACGATGTTTCTTTCAGGTAACAAAAACATTCATGTACCGTGTAGGCTTCGGAAGGAAATGGTTGGGGAGGATAGCGAGTGCACAAGTGCAGGACTTTGACACCAGAACCTTGAGTTAGCGTCCAGAATCTTGTCTTGGGTTTAGGCAACAAATGCACTTTAGTTAGGATTGGGGAAAGATCTGGATTTTGGTTAAATGTTCATAAAAAAAAGGTACCAAAAATAACATTGTATTTACTATGAGTGGATACTGTGTTGAAAGATTTTGGGGGAAAACAACTAAGATGTGTTCAGTATCAACTTTTTGCAACTTGCCAGAGACATTAATTAGCAACATTTCCTCATTACGTTAATGAAAATGTAATTTGCTCTGTATTTTCCCTTCAAAACGTATTTGCTGTTTCATATTTGTTGTGTGCAAACTTAATTTCTAGGAGACAGGGCTGCTCACCAATGCACAGTGAGTGTAATGCTGGTCTAAAAGATCAAATCACTGCTGGAGGTTTAGATCGAACCTATGCTCTAAAAGCACATCATGCCTACCTGTGTTAATGCTCAATAACTCATACAGATATAATTTGGAATATACAGCTTGCTGTGTTAGGCTCAGTTCAGAGGGAAAAGGCCTACAGCAATTACAGAACTGTCATAAACAGGTAATTTGTCAAACCTCCGTTGTTTTATTGTCTATTATTATTTTTCAACACAGTATTCTTCTTCCTTTTTGAGTGAAAAAACTCAAACTTCAGATTTCAACCCATGTGTGACACTCTGTAGGCGCTTTCCTACTAGCAGGACACAGAACAGCAATATAATTTGCTAACACATAAATCAAGTGTGCAAAGAGCATTAATTAGAAATTCATTAAAAATTCAGACTCACCGGCAGGTGTGCAAATAAAGGATTAGGTAGACATCAATTATACTACATAAGAGAACATTTTAATTGCAATTCCTGGATTGATTTACAGAGGGAAACAATCAGGCTCCGTGCAATATGGCTGATTGCTCATTTTCCGGAAAAATAATGAGAAAAACACCTCACCAGGTAACACTGTCCCCAGCTGTAAATCCGTACACACAAACAGATTCAGAGGTGTGTGTGCTCTGTCATGCACAGACACATGAAGGCTTATATACGAGTGCCTGTGCCCACAAACACATTTTTAATGCCAAACTATATAATAAAACACATGCGCGCAAAAAATAAGGTAGAAACAAACAGACATGCACACACAAAATTACAAAACATGACACACAGACATCCTCCCACACATAAATACACATGCACTGCAGCTTGGCATTCCCATCTGCTTGTGTTGGTGGAGAAGTTCTTAAGCACCAAATGTTGTGCTGTTATGACTCAAGTTTGTGAATTCTCCAACCTCCTCTGTGTTCCTGATTACTGCATTATGGCATCTGCTTAATTAGCTTGGCTTGTGTCATATGTTGCACACGAGGGGGTGTTAAAAAGTGCCCTTCCTTCTTGCTCATTATCTGCCTCGATTCATGTGATGTATAATCTCTCTTGACAGACATTCATATTGACATAGGGACAGCTGTCAGCAGAGCATGGTCATAAAGAGTGCACATAGAATAAAAACCACAAGGAAGGCAGATAAGTGGAAAGGCTGCCAAATTTCTAAGTGAAACTACTGATTCTGTTTCACTCTGGATCCATCAACACTGCAACAGTTCTAATTATACTGAATTTAATTTTATGGATGAGAGTTTTTTGGGAGAAGAAACCGATAGTAGGCCGTGCATTTTGATTACTACAGGTAATATTCAAAGTAGCCTCCTGCCAGTGTATTTTCTAAATTGGTGTGGTGTCCAACTCTTGGCGAGGAATCAACGTCATTATTGCCATGTGGGAAATTCTAATCATTATCTGCATAACAGCTCTGGACAATCATTCCAACCCACAGAACGCTACTTTCTTGATGGAAGAGAGTTTGAAGATTGGAAATGTCCCTTCTTTACAAGTCAAGATATCAAATTCTGTCTATAATCAAAAAGCATGACAATGATATTACAATATACCCCAACAGACTTGTTATACCAATGGGACCTTCACTTAGAGATCTTACTGCCATGACACAAACCTATCACTAGACAGAACATTGATTCTGCTAAACTGCAGATTATGTACAACAACAACTAGGTGTTAAGATTGAGAACTGGTCCAGAATTGTCTGATCCATCGTAATCGTAATCAATTCCTTTTATCTCGGCCAGCATGTTCTTCCAACAGATGTGCTCTGTAAAACAATGACGTCAAAGTCTTGTGTCTATGTTGCTGGAAACTTACAATAACAAGTCACTGTAGAGATGAAAAGATGGTCCAAAGTGTGGCTTCATTTCATGAAGACAGATGACAACTACTTGTTATGTCTGTAAAATAACAATTTCAAGTACATGTTAGGGTTGAAACAGCAGCATAATGCTGGAACATCTTTCTACAAAACATTGGCTTAAATTCCAGGGATGCCATGTATTTGACACTGACAAATGAGCCACAGCCCCCCAGTTATGTTATGTTATAACAATATTTTAATCTTATAATAACATTAGGTAAGCACCGTGGTGTGGTGGCACATGGTGTAATGGTTAGCACTGTTGCCTCACAGCAAGAGGGTTCCTGGTTCTCCCCGTGTCTCCCCAGGTTTTCTTTTGGTACTCCGGCTTCCTCCCACAGCCCAAAGACATGCAGGTTAATTGGTGACTCTAAATTGGCCGTAGGTGTGAGAGTGAGCATGAATGGTTGTCTGTCTCTATGTGTCAGCCCTAGTCTGGCAACCTGTCCAGAGTGTACCCTGCCTCTCTCCCAGTGTCAGCTGGGATAGGCTCCAGCCCCCCTGCGACCCTCAAGAAGATAAGCAGTTACGAAAATGGATGGATGGATTACATTAGTGACATGCAGGCAGGCTTAGCAAATTTGAAATAATAAAACAGTTGCGTTGATGCTGAAAACCTGTGTAGGCCTACTTTTTCCCATCCCAGAAAATTCATTATTAATCAGTTGCTGAATCAATAAAGAGCCCGACTGATACACAAAGTCAATAATGGCACTGATATCAGTGTAATCTAATCAATTTCCATCCCTAAGGACAACAATTAATTCGAGGGCAAAATTTTTACCTTTTTTTCAACAATATTTGCCCATGGCTACGACAATACCATTAGGTTAGGAAAATGTCATGGTTACCATATGGATATGATCCTCTGGGGATCATGAATGTCTGCAAACAATACAAAGCAATCCATTCAGCCTAGTAGTTGTCAAGATATGTTAAGATGGACCAAAGTGATGAATGGATGGACGGACTGGTAGTTCCATCTAACCCTAAATTAACATTTCAAACAAATCAGAGTTAAAAACAGTATGGCTGTGCAAAAAGGGGCAAAAGTGCAATTATGTGCATGTGTCAGAGAACTGAGTCCTTCACTGCCTGTTTATCACATTTTGACTATATTTATCCTGACCAGAGGATGATTTGTACTTTGCCACTGAATAGAAAACAACAAGGGGAAATTTAATTGTTTGGAATGATTCAGTATTGGATATACTGCCATCATTACGTGGGTATACGTGGGATATGGCCTCTTTGTGTTTACAAATAAAAAAGCAGTTGATCATTTAAAAAAAAGAGACGTTGATACCAATGAGGTTAACTGATGTATTTTTGTGTCTGTACGCGTAATGTTTATTATATAACGATTTGAATGAATAATCTGTATTCTCTACTCATGAACCATTATGCCATCCTTCACACAGACAGTTGTGACCTTACAGACTCAGAGACAAAGCTACAGCGTTTGTTTTAAAACATGGTGAATACAGTGATCTTAAATAAATGAAAATATGAGCCGAGATGCTAACGATGGTCAAGTGACTATTATTCTCCATGAAAATAAACTGATTTTGACACCCACTCATAAACTCCAACATATGTTCCATTGATGCCTAATGGGTCTGCTTGGGCTATGAGAGACTGGAGAGGGCAATTAGTTGCATGTGGCTTTGATTAGCACTGATTCCACAACAGTGCTGGAAGGAATATAGAAAACAAAATACTAAATTACTGCTGAAGCTCTTTCTGACAGAATGCAATGAAATGGAAGAAACTATTAAACTTCATGGTAATAACAGGTAAATGTGAACACGTTAACTATAGCATGGTGCCCACGGCTAAGATTATGCATATTCTACCTACAAACAGCCTCTGCCAAGCAATGCATATAAAACTGAAATAAATGGCTACAGATGCATGAACTTGCCCTGAAAGAGGTTTGCTTACTCTGTGATCTCATTCTTAAATGAAACCAATTTGCCTAGAAATTGGTTCTAAGGCCTAATGCTGAACTCTGTACATCAGCTCCGCCACACACACACACATACACACGCACACACACACAGTTAGCTTTTACAAATGCACTTTCACAGTCACACTGCTTCCACCCCTTCCACCCCTTCCCTCGCTGCAAATCATGTTTGACTTTGAAGTGCTAATTTTGGAAGTTTAGCCAATTTTTATTTGCTGCTTTGAAATGTATCCCCTAAGCTGCTGCACCAGCAATGAAATATACAGACCTTTACAATGAGGGATAAGTGACCAAAATGAGAAGCGCCTGGTTTTCTTCCTAGCATTATATAACTGTGAATAATCCCCACATAGCATTTTCTCCTGTGCCATCAGTGCCTCAATTTATATTCAAAAATATTATGCAGACTTTTTACTTTTTGCTCATTGCTCAATCCCCACCTAAAGTTGGAGCTAATTTAAGATATCCACATACAATGCTGCAGACAAAAACCCTAAAATATTTTCCACATAATTACTGTACTTTATCAGTGTTCCTGAACAAAAGTGGCATAACTAAAACAGGGAGAGTAAAACCGTAATGCGAGTAGATGGGTTCACTGTGGTAATGTGTATGGATTCTGCTAAAAGGGTACCTGATGAATGTCTAATAACAGCAACACTGTATCACCAGTACATTTCTCTGCAGGTTAAATCAGAGTCCATATATACTGTAGTGACAGCCCAGTCACCACGATGAAATGTTGGCATTGTGTGTATCCACAAAACCATGAATAAGTTCCATTTGAACATTTTATACCAATCATATCAACGTTTGTAAAGTGATTTAATATCAAAGCTGACCGTCATCTGGAGGTGGAGCGGAAGGAGGATGGCGTAAAGCGGTTGATTTAGGGAGTCATTTTCATCTTCCCAGCAGGTTCCTGGGAGCCAAGCATGGGTATTTGGTGGCGACCAGTTACTGTTTTTTCAGTGGCTTTTTAGGCACAAATAGGAATAGTTTTTACCAAAACATCGCTGCTCTGTGACTGAGATTGTGGCCCAAAGAGCAGCTGTTTTTTGTTGTTGTTTTATTTGCCACACATCACTGCTTTTTCTGCCAGGATTGGGCCCCTAAAATGAGGTATTTTAAGCCAAAACATCTTCCTAACCACAACCAAGCGTTGTTGTGCTTAAACCTAACCACATGTTAACCACAGCGATGTTGAAAGTTTCAACGTATCTGCTACATAATAATGTGCAAATGTTACAAATACATGGTTTGCAGAAACAGTCAATGCCAACATTTTTTCTAGCGCTTGGGTTGGCAGTGCGTAGGCTTGGGGGTATCACAGTGTTACAGTATACCAGGGTATTTGGAAATCTTGATTGTATGATTTTTTAGTACTATCAAAACTACAGGTGGTCCTCTTACTATCGAACTCACTGTATGTAGTGCAAACCATGCACCACCAGAGGTCAGTCTCTTGTGGAACTGGATGCTGGTGGTTGTAGGGATAACGTTACAGGATTGTAAACAACTGGCCAGCAACAGCAGAGAGACATACTGCAGAGAAAACGGCATATTTTCGCATCTAACTTGGTGAATTAAGGATTTATTTAGACCAAACCAGAGTTAGTTATTGTTGGAACAGTGGACTAACTGACTAAATGACTAAAAAGTCTAACTAAGGTGGTTTTGGTGAGTTTTATTTTGTTTCTGGTTAGCTTGAATGAAGTGTGTTTAGCAATAAGTTAAAGAGGCAATTCAATAAGTCATCATTCTTTGAAAGAGAAAGTAGAATAGTGTCATATACCATATACAGAGGTGAAATTTCAGTAAGGTAGCAAGGTATAAAAATTAGATACTGTCCTAGCCTAGTAGTGATCCACTTTATTAACATTTAAACCCTGACAACAAATCATGGTTAGACCATATGGCCTGTGGACGGCTGTGTTTGATATAATTCAGATACATCAGCTCAATATAAACATTAAAATGGCATTATGTCTTTTGAGCTTTGTCCCTACCGTGTATGAAACCAAACAGTGGGGGAAAAAATGACCACGGTAATAAACGTAGCAGCATTTACCACCGTGATGGATGCAAGGATGACCTCAATCACAATCCTTTTTTTAACTGCTTTCAGCAGGAGCTGGAGCATTATATAGTAAAATAAGTTGATCAGATTGGCTCCTCACCAAGCAGCCCGGCTAATAACGTGGAAGGCAAAGAGCTTGAGGGAGAGAAGATTTGGAATGTGGGCCCCTCCACTTTCCAGCACTGCTCTGCTTTAACACAGCCCTGGACTTGGCAATAAATTGCTTTGGTAATCAGCTTTTTGAAAAGCTTATTTACTGCTTGTTTTGTGTTTATTGTAGTTCTCAGAATGAAATACAAAATTGGATTTTATTACATGTGCAATTTTCTCCTCTCGTAAAGAATAGAGAGAGAGAGAGCGCGCGCATCACCTTGTTGAGTATGGATGATCCGGAGAGAATGTATACTGTATATTATTTTTGATTATCTCTCTGCTTTGATGCAGTCTCCTTATGCGCCCAGGGATGCACACACTAAGGGATTGGGTGGAAACATTTCATGTATAAAATGTCCAAAAAAGCTGAGAGATCAAAAAGTCTACTAGTTACACTGGGGTATAATCTATATGTGAATGAATGACAGAGTGAGACAGGAAAGGGAAAGTGTGGCGCAGTTTGTTGAATGTATCAGTTTTGCATTCTGTTTGCAAGTGAACAAAGTAAGGGCTCGTTCACTGTACAACTAGAATAAAAGATTAATTTATCCACAACTCTGCTTCACAAATGCACAAACCATGTGTTCATGCTTGAAAAATCACAGCCCCAGTGGTTCTTTTCACTTGCATCATTATGCTGTACACAATGCAGTACACTGAGACAATGTGCTTTTGTAGACCACATTCTATAAAGTTAACATAAATCTGACATACAGTGCTATAGACCTTCCTTCAACCCAGTGGTTCTTTCAATCTTTGTTGTCAGCAACCAGAACTCTTTTTCATGTAATTTTATTAAAGCTTTATGAATGTATTTAATTACCTAAAATGATAGAAAACACTCCAATATTCAAACAACCCCTGCATC